GTGAAGGGATAAATATTTCAAAGTTCTCTTGAAAGAAAGTTGAGTGATTATTTTCTTTTATGCATTAAATTAATATTTTATTAAATGGTTTAAAACAAGCATGTCATTATTGTCTGAAATTTGAAAGTCAAAATGATATCATAAATGAGAGAAAATAACAGACACATGAATGCATAATTTAAAAAATTTTAAACTGAAATAAAATGAAATATAAATGTTAAGTCATACAGGAATAACCTCAGATAGTACTGATAGAGGATGCGATGTACTTATGCACGCTAAAGAAAATGGTAAAAATATGCATTCAGTTGTAATTTGAGGGTATCTTTTGATATATTTTTAAGGTATTTTTGGATACATACTTGAGGGTACCTTCAGGTGTGAAGATAATACTGTTATGACTCTTAAAAAAGTTAAAATGGTAAATACTTAAACTGAAACGAGAAGGGATAAATTTAACGTGAAAGTTTAAAATTTTATAAAAAAATGAACGGTATTTTCTTTGATCATTCATGCATAGCAATGATATAATAATTGGTGCATATAAAAAAAATAATTGTTCACTAAGCATATAAAGAAAATAATTGCTCACTAATTTCAAACTTACTATTGCAACTAATGTTTTTTTAGGAAAAGAAAAAATTTAGGTTAACATGTTTGGTAGGAGAGACTTGGTTTACAAGAGTAGGACTGCAACTGACAGATACTAGTTTATAATGTGTTTGTAGTTTCTTTTTGCACTGTTTTCTTCAGATAGTGATAGAGTGTTAAATACTATTTTGAGATGCAGTCTTCAGATTATTGTTGTTGTTCCTGGATGTTTTAAAATTATTTCACTTTGCAAATTTTAGTGGCTCTTTTATATTTTGAAAGTTTCTAAAAATTATGTGGAAAGTAAAAAAAGGAAATGTTAATAATGTCTAGCCATAGTTCCATCTTTGTTAATTCTAAGCACTAGGCTTGGTTCTGACAAAAGTGGTATCGTAGAAATTAGGTTGGATCATGATCTAAAAGTGCCATTACGATGATTAAATTGATTTATAATTGATATTAATGAATGATTAAATTGATTTATAATTGATATTAATGAATGATTAAATTGATTTATAATTGATATTAATGAATGATTAAATTGATTTATAATTGATATTAATGAATGATTAAATTGTGCTAGTTATAATTTTTCTTATGCTATTTCAGAAATATGGAAAATCAGGGGGAATAAGCTAGAGATGATATTGTAGAAGTCACAAATTACTACGAATACAAATGCATTTATTGAAATGATGATTGCAATAACACAGTTGATTAAGAACTCTCAGACTCAGTATAATTTCAGTGGTGGAGGTCAGATAAATAAATACTTAAAATTATTTCAGGATATGAGACCACCATTCTTTTCTAGAATAGGTTTAATG